TCAGTGATAAAATCAACTAAAATCAATGATAAAATCAACTAAAATCAATGATACAATCATGTGGAGGCAGAATAGGCTTGCTTAAAAAGAAAAGTCTTTAAGCCTTTTTTAAAGTCAGTCAGTGATTGTGGAGCTCTCAGATATTCAGGGAGGGAGTTCCAGAGGTGGGGGGCAGCCACACAGAAGGCCCGATCTCCCATGGTTCTTAATTTAGTTTGTGGAAGGTGGAGGAGATTACTGTTCTGTGATCGTAGGGACCGGGTGGATAAATATGGAGCAAGAAGGTCCTTCAGATAATCTGGTGATTTTCCGTATAAACACTGATGGGTGATGAGAGCAATTTTGTACTGAATTCTGTAAGTGACAGGAAGCCAATGGAGGTTATGGAGAATGGGTGTAATATGTTCAAATTTACGAGCTCAATAAAATCCTGGCTGAACTGTTTTGAATATATTGAAGCTTCTGAAGGTTTTTGCTGGGTATTCCAGTAAACAGGGAGTTGCAGTAGTCGAACCTGGAGGAGACAAAAGCATGGACGAGTTTCTCTGCATCAGCAAAAGTGAGAGATGGGCGCAGTTTGGAGATATTTCGAAGATGGAAGAAACAGGTTTTAAACAGATGCTTAATGTGATTTTCAAATGTAAGATGAGAGTCCATTTTTATTCCAAGATTTGTAACAGAGGTGGAGAGGGGGATGTCTTGTCCGGAAAATGAAATAGTCGTTATAGTTGAAGTTTGAACCTGGTGAGGGGTGCCAATCAGTATGGCCTCTGTTTTGGAGCAGTTTAACTGAAGAAAGTTCTGATTCATCCATGCCCTTATCTCCTCCAGGCAGGTAGAGAGGGCAGCGAGTGAAGATGGAGATGACAGTGGTGAAGATGATGCTCCGGTCCTGATGTAAAGCTGTGTATCGTCGGCATAACAGTGAAAAGAAATGTTGTACTGATTAATAATTTGACCTAAAGGCAACATGTAAAGGGAAAATAGCAGGGGCCCTAAAACTGACCCTTGAGGGACACCACAGGAGACACAGACAGTCTGGGACTTGGCATTGCCAAGACTAACACATTCCAGCCTATTGGAGAGGAAAGATTTAAACCAGTCCAGGACAGTGTCACAGAGACCGACCTCCACATGAAGACGGTGGAGAAGGATACTGTGGTCCACAGTGTCGAAAGCTGCAGTGAGGTCAAGGAGAACAAGGAGGGAGGGAGAACCAGTGTCAGCAGCCATGAGGACATCATTGGTGACTCTCAGCAGTGCGGTCTCAGTACTGTGA